GTACCTCCTGCTCCTTGTGGGTGCCCTGAAATTAATGTAGACCCCCCCGCAACTAGTGCTAAGCAAACCATGCAAAAGGAGGGTCCTGTTAATAGTAAGTCTAAGGGGAAACAAAAGCAAATCTCATGTTCACATTTGCTCTTCCTATCACATTTCTATTTCTTCCTACTACATTTCTTGGCGGCTGAGTTTTTCCTCGTGCGGTCTACTGACTCACTTCTTATTTAAATAGTCACAAGAAGAGACAGAAAATGAGCTCAAAAGATACGACTTCTCTACTCAATCCTCAATTTGTCTGATCACTTCTGGAATTTTCTCTGCAGACAGGAATGAGGTCATCCTTAATTCCTTCACTGAAAGAACCGCTCCCATCCCACTCCAGAGCTATCACACCCATACCTGGCCAGCAGCATCTGAGGCAGTTTTCCACTTTCCTCCCTCCCTTGGGTGTTAAATCTGATCCACAGGATCATTTTGGACAGGAGTAGGGTGGTTATCATTGCTAGAGGGAGGGTTCGACCTTCAGCGTGAAGAGAGGGGCTTCACCACTTGATCCATCTTTACACTGTGGTTCAGCCACAGAAATACCACAACCACAGTCCACTCACTGCCTTGGCCAAGCGGACAGGCTATTTCTGGACTCTCATGGGCTCTGGGATGAGTGATCTGATTCTTGTGGTAGCCTATGTTATGGCACAAGCTGATCTCTGGGATTAAACCAAAGGAAAGCAAGCTAGATGTGGTGTCTCTACTTCCTGCTGTGGCTGTGGCTGCCTTGCTTCCTGTTGGTCTTCTTCTCAGCTGAGAAAAACAGGCTGGGAAGAACAAGGTTTGGAAGAAAAGTTAAGCCTGGAAAATACTCTTGGCTTTCTGGATGAGGCTGAGGGCTTGCAGGCAGGCAATGTGTGCAGAGTTGGCCAGGAGTCAGACACATCGCTGAGAAAGTTGCTGTGTTGGTCCTTTGAGGGTTTTGCACTCCACCCCTGCTGGCTGCGGCAGTGAAGCAAGGAGGTTCCTGGCAAGACCAAAGAACCAGCTGGGAAACTGTGGGGGCCAGAGCATAGGGGGAGGGGCAGGAACCCTCTATGGGTGGTCTTAGCGAAATATCTTTTTGGAGCAAGCAAAGAGGCTGGGACAGAGGCCCTTCCAATGGATAGAAGCAGCCCTGAGGTCATGTGAGGGTGGACAATTGCAGGCCTTTGGTGGGGTTTCACTCTAAGCTGCCCCTGGGGAGCAGCCCAGGAGGCCAGCATGGGGGCAGTCTGCCAAAGAAGCTCTACCTTGGGGCTTGATGTGGAGGCCCCCTCCTGCAGTCCTCCCATGCCTCATCTAAACCTCCAGTCCCCCCAAATGCTTAGATTCTGGGTGCAATAAAAGGAACAATGAAAGGTACAATCCAAGAGACTTTGCAAAACATTATTTAAACCAGAAACTGTAAAGCTAAAAACCAAAGCGACAATTTATAAACCTCAAGATCTCGTGGGTATTTCCCATGGGGTCAAGGTTAATAATGCGCAAGTAGCTGGACACACACACTAGCATTGAATAGCTTGGGACATGGGTGATGGTGATAAGAGTCACCCTCCCAAATTGTCCTGGAAAACCATAGTGCTCACCTGGCCCTGAAGTTCCCTGACTGGGCCAAGGAGGTACACAGAGCACAGTACTGTCACATTAAGACATATTTAAACATTGTAGGGAAAAATCAATGTCCAGCAAATTACTATGGCTTTGTAACAAATTGCTCCAAAATTTAGTGTGCTAAAGCACCTTTTACTACGCTCACAGATTCTGAGGATGGGGAATCAGGCAGGGTACAGAGGAGATGGCTTGTCCAGGGTCCCAGCTGGAAGATCTCAAGGCTGAGAATCAGAATCATCTGAATGAGTCTTCACTCACGTACCTAGTGGTTGACTGAGACCCATAGACGCTGCTGCCTAGGACACACTTCTATGTGACCTCTCTCTGTGGTCTGAGCTTCCTCACAACATGGTGGGTGAGTCCAAAGAGTGGAGAGAGAGGCAGGAGGAAGTCTTATCACTTTATATGAGCTAGCATTCTCAGTTGCAAAGCATCACTCCTCTGCATTCTCTTGTTTGAGGCAGTTACAAAATCACCGAGTTCAGGCTGAGGGGCTCCATCACGCTATAAGAGGATGGAATTGGTGTGGCCATCCTTGGATAATTCAATCTCCCACCTCATCTTTCTCCCCTTCTGAGGTCAACACTGCTGCCACTTGAGAGTGATTATTTTCAAATCTTCTATGTGCCTTTATAAACAAACATAGAATTTGATTTGGGACTTTTGTGGGAAAAGACGTATGTTTAATTTTTATGTAAGTAAGGTCATCTATATAATTTCTTGCATTCTGCATTTTCATGTACCATGAATTCATTTATTAGTAAGTATAATTCTTTTCATTAAAGAATAGTATTCCATAGTTCAGTTATGTTGTAAATTATTTAACCATTTCTTTTGATGGATCGAAATTTAGAATATTTCCTACTTTTTCTATTATTTAAAAAAAGCTTCAACAAATACTTCTTTCTGTGCTATTTTATGCATATAGCACAAATGTGATTGTTTCCCAGGAGAGAGAGGGTAGAAAAGCACTTAGAGGAAAAGCATACTACTTATAATTGTAATGGGTACCACCAAATTTCCTTTGAGAAAGGTAAGTTACACTGTTAGCAATAGAGTAGAGAATTCATTTCCTCATCTCCTCGACACCCAGTAGCGTCAATCTTTGTAACTCTCAGAAAACGATAGTGCATATCATGCATTTTAAAGTTGTTGTGCTGCCCTTATCATAGTTACATGGAATATCTTCCCGTACATCTATCAGCCATCTGCATTTCTTCCGCTTGGAATTGCCTGTTTATTTCCTTTTACCCATTTTTTCTGTTTAGTCTCACTAAAACACAGAGAAACACATATTTGAACAGTGAGGTTTTTTAAACAATGAAAGATGACAAAGACCTTCAATGTTTGTGAAGACTGCTATCATTTGAGAAAGGCCACCCATAATTACAAATGTTAACATGTATTTCCTTTATATACATTTTAAATTAAACATAATCTCTGAGCTATAAGAAAATATTCTAGTTGCTTCACATGAGGCGGGAAAAAATTAATTTTTATTGTAGTAAATAAAAATTTACAGCCTTGTTTATTGGACGACTCTTTGTTTGCCTAGACATGTGCTATTTGTGTTACCCCTTAAAAATTCTAGCCTGTAATACCTATTTCTAGACTTTTATGCCACTAATCTTACTTTTGTGCTGGTACCCCTTATTTTTACAAAGCGGGTCTCTATTATTAACTTAGTAAGAAAGAACACGTTTACAATGTCTGCGTCCAGCTTGGGGTGTGACTTCGCATGACTCAGTGGAGCCCCCTGGTGTTTACTTGTGCACAGTGATCGCACCCTCTGGGAAGGAGTAGGTGCCAGAGAGATGTTGGATGTGTGAGTGATGCCCATGTTGCTTTTTGAATATTGAGATCACTTTCAATCCATCACCATCTAGAACTGTTTAGAATTTGGAATTCAAAGGAATAGAGTGGGTGACACTGCGCAAGAGCTGGAAAAGGTTGTTGCCCAGGACATCAGTGCAATGCATGCTGCTGAAACTGTATGCAAAAAATGGAGTGTCCTCCGGCCAAGAGATGGCAGGTGGGATTTGTGCCAGGCTGATTGTGATCAAAGTGTGATTCATGCAAATGAAGGAGGAAAATGAGGAGGAGGAAGAAGAGGAGGAGCAGAAGATTTTCAGTCCTCTTGTGAGTGAACCAGCACGCCTTGGAGCTGCAGCAATCTGAGGTACAGAGAGCAAGGCAGAGATCATGCCCTTGTCAACCCACAGTGTCCATCATTTATTTATTCATTAATTTGAAATTATTTAATAGCATGTCTTAATGTGTCAGCCATTGCTGTAGATACTACGAATATAGTGGGAATGATGAAGGGTATCTCTCACCTCTTGGAGTTGGCATTTAAAGAGGAGACAGAGGTACAGTCACAATACACACATAGACGTGATATGTGTCTGAGGATGGTACTGCCATCACAAAAAACAAAGCAGGGTAAGAGATATGGAGGACTAAAGAGTGTGCTTTTCCTCAGTGTGCAAGTGGGCTGCTCTGATAATGTGGCATTTCAGCAGAGACAGAAAGAAGGGAGTAAGCCACACAGGGAGGCAAGGAAGAGCCTGGAATAGACCGGAAGAAGAGCAGGTGGGAGAACCCAGGAGAGGAAGGTTCCTAGTGTGTTTGGGCAACAGAGAGGAAGCTGGAGCTGCAGAAACTGAGTGTGGTTATGCGCAGAGGGACAGGTGATGACAGAGGGTCAAGAAGCTTGCACAGTGTCAGATGGGAACCTTGGGAGGTAACAGTTTTGTGTCTCTGGTGGGAAGTAGGACCATTTTGATTTGGGGAATGACTGTACAGATGTGTCTGTGGTTCAGTGTGTCTGGTGTGAGACTGTGTGCATGGGTGTGTATGTGGTTAAGTGAATGTATTTGAGTGTCTCATGTAAGTGTCTATGTATATCTGTGTAAATATTGTTGATGCTATTGTGTCTGTGTTCACTTATGTTCTAGCATGTGTAGTTGAGTGATCATGGATGTATTCGTGCATGCCTATGTGTCTTAAGTGTCTGAGTTTATGTGTTTGTGTCCTTAGTGTGTACATGTGTTTAAGAGTACATGTCTGTGTTTTGTGTTTGTGTGTGTTCCCTGATACACTAGATAGAAAAGGTCCCAAGGAAAAATGAGCTTGCACAGGGAAGCCCCTCCAGGCACCCTGACTGGGTCTCTGCCTTACCAGTCCTCACAGAGCAGACCCATGTCGCTGATGACATCATAGAATAAAGCAAGCATCCTAGTGACCATGGGGAGCCTAGGTGCCACTCAGGCCAGGGGCCAGCTGGAGGGCTTCAGCAAGCCCACATTCACTCTCACCCAACAGCTGGAGCACTAGACTCTGGGTGCTGGTTTCAAATCATGAAACGGCACTTCAGGGATCATAGTGGAGAACAGTCATCAATTGACGGGACCACCCTGAGCGTGACCACACCTGAGTCCACGGAGGAGAGCGTGAGAATGTACTGGCCGTGTGGGCCAAAAGACAGGGCTGGAGGTGAGCCAGGTGTGCTCCCTGGGAAGGAACCTGGCAAGGCACCATATTGGTCCCTGATGGTGTTACCAAGGGTCGTGCTGACCATAAAAATAGATGGTGGTGTGGCAAGGAAAATGGTCTTTCCTGGATGCCTGGTCCTACCTAGGATGTTTGTTGTGAATACATGAGGTGATTTCAGGAGATATGGAGATGAAAATGTAAAATGTTCACTCTCACATATTTAATGTGTATTTGAAAAAAAAATTAACATATCAATCCTATGACTTCAGCAGTGAGATACAAATTCTTTTATAATAAATTGATGTGAGCTAGTCTAGAGCATCAGTTTGAAAATGACCAGATAGGTCCATGGGCAGCAACAGAGGTAATCTCTGCAAGTGGCCTCTGCCAGTCTTTTAAAGTCTCTGTGCCTCAGTTTCCTCATCTGTTGGATGAGAATCATAACAATGAAATTTCTTAAGGTTGTTTTGAGTATTAATGGAATTAAGACATGGCAGACACTGACATGGTGACAGGGACACCATGAGTGTTCAAGGAGATGGCCTCTGAGTAAGGTTGAGATGCATCAAGAATGGTGAGGGTGTCCCCGGCTGGCTCAGCCGAGCCACTTCTCAAGTATTGCTTTTGACACCGGCTACATTGGGCTGCTGTTTATGTACAATTTGAAGAATTGTGGCAGGTGTACATTTGTATAGGCACCACCACAGCCAGCATACAGGACATTAGCACAACCCCCAATAGTTATCTTGCACATTTAGGGTAACTAGCTCTTCCACCCCACCCCAGGCTCTTGGCAACTGTTCTGTCCCTACAGATTTGCCTTTTCTAGATTGACATTTAAATAGAATCATATGTTGGGCAGCCCTTTCAATTTTATTTAGCAAATGCAGTAGAGATTCAGCCATATTGCTACCCACAAGAATCATTTTATCCGTGAATACGATGCATCTCTTGTCTGTACCACAATCCACCTGCCTGTTCAGTTGATAGCCTTAACTATGTTTTCGGTGATGACAGTCACACATTTCTAGATCCTTATTTCTGGACCCGATGAGGTGGCATTATTAATATTCCCAAGTTATAAGGAACCCCTCCCCTCCTCCATACCCTGGGGTGACTGAAGGTAGACTATGTTCTGATTCCTTATAGGGCATTGATGAAAATGTCCTTCTGCTTTTCAGGGACCTCGAAGAAGGACGAGTTATCTCCAGGGCCGGGGCCTGCCCTTCTCCACGAAAACATCTTCCTCGCAGCGCAGGCTCGGGCTCAGGGGATGCTGCGTTGGAGCAGCTCCACGTCGTCCCAGTCCTCCTCGGACTACCAGTCCTACTCCCTTTACCGGTCTTGCTACTCCAGCAAGCAAGAGGAGCAGGACGCCGCCCCGCAGAGCGTGAGCGCCCTCTACACCCACGTGCAGACCGTGCGTGGCGTGGCGGTGGCCTGGGAGACAGACGCTGGCTTCGAACCAGTCAACAGGAAACCCCGCATCCACGAGGCCGAGTTCATTAAGCGACAGCGGCGGAAAGGCACCTCCTTTGAGATGGCCTCCAACACCGATCTGCACTGGGACCTGGAAGCTTGCAAGAACAACTACTGTCTGGAGACCGACGACTCGGAGCTGCTGGGCCCACTGGAGTGCTGCCTGCAGGAGCTGCGGGCGCACCCCGACTGGCTGGTCACCACCAACCACGGGCTGCGCTGCGTGGCCTGCTGCCGCGTCTTCCCCACGTTGGAGGTGCTGCTGGAGCACGCCCAGCACGGCATCCGCGAGGGCTTCAGCTGTCAGATCTTTTTCGAGGAGATGCTGGAAAGGAGGCGGGCCAGAGATCAAGGACAAGAGCAGCTGGAGGAGGAGGAACAGAGTCCTTCCGACAGTAGCCCATGTTCCAGGACCCACAGCAAGGGCAAGGTGTTTACATCACAGCAGCAAGAGCAGCAAAAGCAGCAGCAGCAAGCCTGAGGTGAGCCGCCCACCCTGCCCTCAGCTCCAGCACCTCGGGCTGCTTCTCCTTTTCCAGCCACCAGGGCAGGGGAAGAGGACCAGGGTCCTGGGGGAAGGAAGTAATCACAGTGAGGAGCAACAATACAAGAGGTAAAGGAGCCCTTCCCCCAGGGCCCAGCATTTCCACCAGAGTCCATTTCAAAAACCTGAGTCCAACGAAGAGGGCTTCAAGTGTTCCGGATGGTTCTTGCAAGCATGTGGCCGCAAGAATTCCTATTTTTGTTGGAGGATCAGCAGGTCCACACTTTCTGTACAAGTAGATGTGGCTCATAGGACAGCCAATTGCAAATGAAGCTTCGGCCCTATATTTTTCATTGTTAGAAATCTGTCAGATGCCCTAGTTCTATGTTGTTGGGATTAAACTTGAATAACTCAGTGTGTAATTGGCTGAACCATGCTATCAGATTGCTCCCACGAAAAACGGTCATTTCTACAGAATACAAGCTACCACAGGCCTAGAAATGGGCTGAGGAGGTCCTTCTAGTCTGTAAGTTCATCTATGTCAACTATACATTTTTAAATGTTACCATTAAATGCGTCTACACCCTCCCACTCAAATCCAGTGCAGAGGGCTGCATTCGCTCAAGAGAAGACATCGGTCACGGCCCACTGTGTTTTAGGTACCCTCCCCAATGGAGCACATCCAGGTTGAGGAGGCCTTACTAGAAATGTTTGGGACCGGAAATATTTCGTATTTTGGAATATTTGTATGCACCTAATGAGCTATCCTGGGGAGGGGACCCACATGTAAACACAAAATTCATTTTTGTTTCATATGTACCTTACACATATAGCCTGTGTGTGCATCTGAGATCCATCACATGAGGTCAAATGCGAAATTTTTCACTGTGGTGTCATGTCAACACTCAAAAAATGTTTCAGATTCTGGAGCACTTTGGGTCTCAGATTTTTAGACCAGGGATGCTCAACCTGTACACAGACTCCATTACTTCCAGTGACAAACAGAACACTTACAAGGGATGAATCACATCAAGAAGGTTTGGGGGTGGGGGGCGCAGATCCCTAAACACACACTAATTGATCAGGATGAAAAACTTTCCCCAAAAGGTGACACAGACAGAAAAGGCAGGTAAAATAAGCTAGACCAGGGTTTCTCAATGATGGCACTGTGGTAAGTTAAGTCATTCTTTGTTGTTGGGGCTATCCTTCCTCTACTCACTAGATGTGAATAGCATTCCCTCTCTGGCAATTGTGACAATCAAAAACATCTCCAGGGATGGGGATGTATCTCATTGGTACAGCACTTGCCCAGCACACAAGACCCTGGGTTCCATCCCTAGCATTGCAAAAAAAGTCTCCAGACGCTAACAACTGTGCCCTGGAGAAAAATTGTCCCTAGTTGAAAACCAACAAGCTGGACAAAAAATGGAGGCCTTAGACAAGAGAATGACATTGTACGTTTGGGGACTTGCCAGCCACTTGACCTAGAGGCATTTATCTCTATATCCTCCATAAAGAATTAGCATCCACCATGCAACAGGTGCTGAATTAGTCCTGGAGAATAAAAAGTGAACAAAGAATGAAACACACATGATGCTGTTCTGTGGAGCTTATGACCAACAGGTGAATATGTATGTAAAAATAATTTGCTGGTACTGGGGTTTGAACTCAGGGCCCTTCTATCACCATCTCTTAGCATTCCCTGTTTTACTTGCTATGCTGCAGCCACATTGATCTTTCTCCTTAAATTATCAAATCTTTTACACCTCAGGCCTTTTGCAACCCTCGTTTTCTAAGCTCATCTCTGAGGATATAGTTTACATGTCACTTTTCAAAGGGCCCTTTTTCGATCATTCTGTCTTAGCATATGCCTCATTCTAAATGCAGTTGGTTTGAAAAGAGAAGTGACATGACCAGGTTTATATTTTAAGAAGCTTTGGCTGATTGTACAGGGATTGAGATAGTGGCCAAAGGAAAAAGAAGTGGAGAGATCAGTCAGGATCTGTTGCAGAAGTCCAGGTCAGGGGTGGTGATGACTTGGACAAGACTGGTCATAAGCCAAGAGGGAGAAGAATGGTTGTATTCAAGACATATTTGGGGAATAGAGTCCAAAGGACTTGGAGGTTTGTCAAGGGGGTGCCTCCAATTCCAAGCAGGAGCCACTAATGGCTGTGGTGGGAGTGTGCACATGTGTATGTGTGCAAGCATGGATGTGTGTGAAGATATTTGTATGAAAGCGTACATGTGTGTGGTCATGCATGTGTAAGCATGGTCTGCCAGTGGATTAGCAGGCCTAGTACTGGGACCAGGATGATGAGGTCAGTTAAGACATGGTCAATTCTAAATACTAAAGGTATGTTCAAGCAGAGGTGTTGAATAGGAAGTGGTTTCTGATTTAGAACTCAGCAGACAAGTCTGCATTGTGGGGTCGGGGGGCAGGGAGGAGGAAAAGAAGGAGGAGAAGGTAATGATTAGCTGGGAGGCTAACAAGCCCGCTTTTGAGCAAGCTAGGTTTGTGATAGGAATATTTAGAAGGGAGCTGGGATGAAAGGTGTAGAGTTAGGAAGAATGGTCGCTAGGATGGAGGTAGATTTAGTCATCCCACAGCCTTATGTTGGATGCACTCCCTCTGTTGGTTCCAGTGCAGCAGGAAGCCATGATGTCAGCTGCAGGGATGAGGTCAGACTTGTCAATGTGTAGTAGAGGCCATATGCTGCCTAAATTTTCTGAGAAAAGTGCTGAAGGATCTATAGGAAGAAAAAAAGGCCCAACTTTGTCAGTCTTTTCTCAGAAACGCTAATCTGGCATTAGAGGGAGTTTAGTAGGTTCAACAGGCAGGTAGAATCCAAGAACAAAACAAGGGATGAACGGACTGCTGAGCCAGGAATGGTGAGCACTAATAAGGAGGAGAATTTAAAAAATCAGTAGGCAAAGATATAAAAATGAGCTAAAGTCTGAAATTTCAGCCTTTAAAAGACTTAGGTCTTTTATATGATAAACTCTGATATTCTAGGACCTAAGTGTTGTTTTAAACACTTGAATAAGAAGTCATGTATGTGCTTCATGATCCAATGAGGTGTAGGTCCTATTATTATCCCTGCTGTATTAGTAAGTGAGCAGGGACCATGTCAAGGTCATATGACTGGTGCATGGCAGAGCCAGGCTTCACACCCAGACAGCCTGACTGCAAACCTACGTTCTAATCATCACACTAAGACTCAAACTTTAATGTGAAGAGAGATGCAGGTGTTTAGGAAACAAACATGTCAACTCCCAGGCTGTATTGTCTTTAGATTAAATAGCAGCAGCTGGAGATAAGGGCAGGAAGATAGGTGCTTAGAACAACTGAAGGATGACAACAACTTTGGTAAGCAAAATCTAAAGCAAGGGATAATTTCAACTGACAAGGTACTGGGGTTTGAACTCAGGGCTTCATGCTTGCTAGGCACTGGTGGAGCCACTCCACCAACCCTTGTGTTTGGATACTTTTGAGTTATGGTCTCACTTTTTTTTTTTTTTTTTTTTTTTAGCATGAGCTGGCCTGGAACTGTGATTGTCCTGGTCTTTGCCTCCTGAGTAGCTAAGATTACAAGTGTAATGACTTGTGCTTATAACATAAATTCAAGTAAGTTAAATATGAATTATGTATGACCAATTAGGAAATCAAATGGAAAATATTCCATCCACTATGTCTTAGTCCATTTTCTATTTCTATAACAAAATGCCCAAGACTGGGTAATTTATAAGGAATAGAATTTAATTTGGCTCATGATTGTGGAGGCTGGGAAGTCCAAGAACATGGTGCCAGCATCTGGTGAGGCCTTCTTGCTATATCATAACAGATGAGACAGAGCAAGTGTGCTGGCTTAGGACTCTCTTCCTCTTCTTATAAAGCCACTAATGCCATTCCATGAGGCCCCACTCTCATGACGGCATCTTATCCTAATCTCTTCATAAAGGCCTTACCTCCAAATTCCTTTCACTATTGTGCTATGACAAATACCTGAAAAAAACCAAATTAAAAGGAGGAAAGACATATTTTGCTCATGGTTTCAGAGAATTCAGTCCATGATCAGCTGGCTCCATTGCTTTAAGGTCTATGACAAGGCAGAAACAACATGGAGGAAAGACATGGTGAAAGAGAGCTATTCACCTATGACAGCCAGGAAGCAAAGCAAAAAGGAGTAACAGGAAGGGACCAGGTCCAAAACCCTTCAAAGGCACACCCCTACTTCCTCCATGAGGCACCACCTTCCATAGTTCTACCACCTTCCAATAGTCTATTCATATTTTCATCTCTCAATGGACTAAAGCATTGATTAGGTCACAGTCCTTGTGATGTAATCTTCTCTGGAAATGCTCTCACAGACACATCCAGAAGTATGTTTTATTAATTTCCTAGGTGTCTCTCAGTCCAATCAAGTTGATAATCACACACAAGATTAACTGTCACATGCATTTGAGGATTAAGTTTCTATCACACGAACATTTGGGGGGCACATTCAAAGCAGAGCACACCAGATAAACAGATATTCATGGAAATATTGCAAATGCAATGAAATATTCAAATGATTATCACTAGTTGGCAATTATTGATTTTTTTCCCCTCTAGTTCACATTATTTTGTAAGTTTTCTGTATTTGTAAGTGCAACTTCTAAACTAAAAAAGGCAAATAAAACATTTTCTTATAACAATACCTCAGCTGAAAGTGACTTTTGGGGCTGACCTTATTTGCATCTGTGGTCTATAGACGATACTATGAGAATCTCAGCTCTTAAAATTTTAATCTTCAGTCCTTCAAAATTAAATTAGCATTGATTTAAGAGCATTTTATAATAGGTGAGGAATCAGCCTACTCAAGATAGAAAAATGACCAACCTTTTTTGAAAGGGTATTCTTGTTTCTTACAAAGGTTGAAAGCCTTAAGTGAGAAGGATCTCAAGGGAGAACCACGGTTCTCAGTTAGAGAGAGAGAAGAGGTGATGAGTCAAGGACA